TGATATAGAGCCAAGAAAAAAGAACTCCTCTCTCCTGAGATCACGATCCTGTCAGCCTGGAAGGAGCCTGTTGCTGGCCATCTTGCCCCTGACCCAGAGAGACTGAAAACCCAGGGGAAGGAAGTAACTACAGAGGGGAAGCCTGACCTAGTGACTTTACCTGAGTTCTAGTATTTTCTGAAGCTACAGCCCCTCTGAATTGAGCTACTTACATTTGCTAAAAGTTAATTTGAGCTTGCGACAGCCAGTATTATTTTATTTAATTAAAAAAATTTTTGTTGTTTTTTGAGACAGGATCTCGCTATGTAGTTCAGATTGGCCTTGGACTCATTATGTAACTTAGGCTAGCTTTGAACGGGTGGTGATCACCCTGCCTCAGCCTCCAGAGTGCTGGGATTACAGACATGTAACACCACATACAGCAATGCCAGGATTATGGAGTTTGATCTTGCAGATCGAGTGCAAATTTATAAGATGTCAGTGTAGACAGGCTTCAAAGGCATGTCAGAAAGAAGGAAAGAGGTAAATGTGCAAATACATAGAGCTATGACTTTTAGAGACTGGGAGAAACACAGCACGCATGGCGAAAGCAGAAACTTCCAGGATGAGCAGGTCAGAGGGGAGCACAAGTCTTAAGCTCCAAACGGAGGAAAGGTAAAATACTGGGCTGGGGTTCTACAGGGGAAACCTCCACTTATTTCATCTATGATACATTTTATAATTACTCATTTTTCCTTTAGGAGAGCACAATAAATACCATATACACATATAAATATATATATTGATTATTGTGTTTACTGGCTGTACGTTAGAAAACTCTTTAGATTATATCTTTGACAGAAAATATTTGGAGATTATGAAGGAAAAGATTGTGCATAGAAAAGCACTATCTGTATCTCTCTGAATCTGTATCTGAATCACTTAAGAGTACCTAGAAAGGGTGGTGCTGTATACAGCATGGAAACAGGCCGGACCCTGGGGTAAAGCTGCCAGCTACGCGTTGTTAAGCAAACCTCTAGACAGCCTTCTCTGGGTTCCAAGTGGTTCTGGCTAAAAGGACAAAAGTTTCCAGCGGCTTCCCTCTCCCAGCCTCCTGGGGATTTGTCTTGCTCTCTTATTTTTCCACCCTCCAGGCCTGAGATGCTCAAACTTGTCTGGCTGCCCTTTCCCCTCCCCACTCTCATCCTTACGGTCAAAGAGGGTAAGAAGAATAAAGCGTAATAAAGCCTTTGCTTCCCAATCCATTACTCTGCCTTTGTTCTCCATGCATCAGAAATAGCCTTGGGACAAAGCTGTCTTCTACAAGCAAAGTCAAAGGACCTCAGTGTGAGCTTTGGAATTCAACCCCAGTGCAAGTGCTTCAGATCTTGGATCTCATTAGATCAGTCCACTGCAGAGTGAGTGTGAGTGAATGTTTAGAGGTTTGAATTTTAAAGAGGTAAGGAAAAAGCAAGATATTTTTGAGTGTAGCTGTCACTTCTAAATACTTCTGTGCAGGTAAGGGAAGAGGCAGGAATGCCTCAAAGAAGCACAAGACGGGAGAGAAGACAATCTAGTACCAGTGGAGACCTAAAAGAATACACTGGAAAGGAGAAAGAAACTAGAGAGTTTTGAAAAACCTCTAGTAATATCTGACTAATATGGACATGAATAAATGATATATATATAGAAACGTATGTAACTCTAATGGTTGCATATTACACATTATAAGTATATGTATATATAGTACACATCTATTATGCTGTCACAAAAAAAGTCAAGGAAGCATTTAAACAAATGGAAATTAAATAATACATATTAAATCTTAAGGAATTTGGCCAAAAGGGAAAATAGAAACAAATTAAGTTTGAAAAGCTTTCATTGTAATTCAAGAAAAGTTTAAAAAGTAAAAGTCAAGGCTGACACAGGAGAATTGCCATCCAACCTGAGCTACATAGTGAGTTAAAGGCCAGGCTGAATATTTAGTGAGACCCTGTGTCAAAAAAACCAAAAAAGAAAAAAAAAAAGAAAAATTAATCATTTGGCTGTAGAAACTGTAAAAAGATCCTAAGATAGTTATAATTATGGAAGATATATTTTAAAAAGAAACAGAAAAATAATAAAAGTTAAATAAAACCGTCATATAATAAGACTGAGTACCGCCAAACAAATTCAAGAACGTCATATTAGTGGGTGAAAAAAAGCAAAGTAAATCGTGTCTGCAAAATTAAATGAAGAAAACAATAGAAACTACACAAGTTAGGAATGGTAAAGTATGTAACAACTTCTATGGAGAAATATTAAATAGATTAACATAGACCTGTATATAATTCTTATACCATGTTCAAGTGTATGTCAATAAATTACAAAATATGGCAATTTTCTGAGCTATAAACTTCTAAAATTGACACCAGAAATAACTACCACAATAACAACAAAATAAATTGAAACAAAAATCAAAGAACTAGTTCTCAAAAAAAAAGCCCTAGAATATCGGATAGATTTCAGTTTCTCAACTTAAACCTCTATAACAGTCATAACTGTAACTGAGAGTGAGTTTAAAAAATGTAAAGTACTCCATTTTATATTCCTTCTCTTTACTTTCTTTTGTCTTTCTTTCATCATGAATGTATTGGTCTTTTACCCTGATTAATCCCATCTTCTAGCAAACTTGCTGCCTCACCAAAATGGCTCAAAAAGAATTTCTTGTAGGGAGCGGCTTTGAATAGCTGCTGCTGCCCTGCCCCTCCTGCCTGAGGGCATTTTGTGTGTCAGCCTACATTTCCCATGATCCTCATGTCCACCTACATTACCCATAATCCTCTCCTGCTTACGTCATATATCCGGATGTGATGGTGACCTATCAGATAACACTCTGTGCCCTCTTCCTGCCTTTGGCCCGCCCCCCACCCTATATAAGTTGTAGCCATTTTGAAAATAAACGAGACTCGATTGGAATCTCATCCTGTCTCCATCTCTCTTTTCTCTTGCCCTGCCCCCATCCCCGATCCCCTCTCCAGGTGAGACCCACGAACTGGTCCGCAGGCCGGATCAATTTCCATTTCTGAGACACTTTTAATAGACTATGAAACATTTACAGATAAGCAAACAGGAAAACATTTTCCTCATCATGTGCAGAATCCAAAGTTTCAAGAAGAAATATGCCTCATGTAAGTGATCCCTGTCCTGCATTTTTAATAAAGACAATGGTTTCTATCATCTTGTCCTTTATATTTTAATACTAATATATACTTTTTGGCTAAGTTTAGTTTAATATCCTTCGTTAAATTTTTTGCATGATGTTGGGGTATAGCTCAGTGATAGAACACTTGTGTAACATACATGAGGCACTGGGTTCAATCCCCAGAGCTACACACACACACACACACACACACACACACACACACACATAACCATACATACCTAAAATCTCTTCTAACACCCGTAATGGTACAGGTCAAAGTTTTTATTTTTCTAGTTCTTATATTTGCTTCAGCTTTGTAAGTGTTGTTCCTTACCATCCAATTTTTCTCCCTGAACACCAACTGTTTGATATTTGGGATCAACACTTCAATAAACAACTCAGAGTCCTGAGAAAGTTAAGAAAACTGATTGACAGGAAGAAGTTTCCATCACACTTGGCATACTTGTCGGAAACTTGAACAGCCTAGAAACCTATGAAAGATTTCCAAATTGCAGAAATGTGCTAAGTTCAAAAGCAGAGCTAGTGAAAGGAAAATTTTGCTAAGAGTGTTTTCTGTTATTCCTCTTCCTTGGGAACGAGGAGGAGGATACTTTCTCAAAGATCTAAAAGAAAGGAAGAGGAAAAACACAGCTTTGCTGAAAGTTTTCATAGTTAATTCATGCGCAATCAGTCACTCTGAACACTTCAGTACCTGGAATACTGGTGGTGTCCTTCACAATTGCCTGCTTTGAGTTTTGTTCTTATCCTGGAACTAACTGCATTAAAGTTTATAGGTGAGCACACTCATGCACGCACACACACACACACACACACATACACACACAGAGGTATGTGCACACACTAGATGCTTATACAAGTATGATTTAACCTTCTGTTCCTCAGAGCCTAGCAAAATACCTAGCACATAGTTTCATTTTATAAATGTTATTTGAAATGAAATGAAACCAAATTGCATTCATCTGAAATGAGGGTGTAAGGTAACAGCTGCAACAAAGGAAAATAGTATCTAATTCTGCTTAGAGGAATTAAGAAAAGATGAAACAAAATTAATAAAAGATGTGTTTTGAAGAGCAATACAACCCTTTTGACAGGACAATTTAATTGTATGGAGAAAACATGTCTTTAATTTTAATAATAAATACTTACACATCTTTACGCAGCATTTTATTCTGCAAAACCCTTCCAGGCACTAAATAATTGAATTTTCCAGATTACATTCTTCAAAAATCATTTGCATTAAATATTCTCATCAGAGTGGTTAAATGAAAATGTAAACAAATTAAAAGAGATAGTACAAAGCCCAGGACTCCTTTTCACATCACTCAGAACACACTCTCGTTAGAATAAGTCCAGAGAGGAGACAGATGGCTCCAATTCTCTCTGGTGACTAGGAACCACCTGGGTCAATGTGGACACCAGTGTCGTCTCACTACAGGCATGAAGCAGGCAACTTCAGAAGATGCTCAGAGCTGGAAGTGATGCCACTCGCCTGTAAGTCTAGTCCTTTGGGAAGCTGAGGCACAAGGTTTGTAAGTTTAAGACCATCCCGGCAACTTAGAGACTTACTGAGACCTTGTCTTAAAATAAAAAGTTTAAAAATGGACTGGGTTTGTAGATTGGTGCAAAGGTCCTGGGTTCAATTCCCATTGTTACAGAGATGCTCGGGGGAGGGGGTTAGTGAGAAAAATAGCAATATTCAAAGCTCAGTATTAAACATTCTTTTCTACTCACTTCCCTTCTTTCCTACTAAAGAACTTCTAGAGCTAATGTCTGTCTAAGAAGAGCTCTCCGATCATTTGAAGTTTCAACACTGGGATCTACCCGTGCTGTAAAAAGATGTTTAGTGAGACTCTTCCTGGTGGCACACGATTTGAGGACAGCTGCCGGGCTGAAACTGACAGAAGAAAATTCCCTGAAATCTACCTTTAGCTTATTAAGAAATATAACCAGTGAGAAAGATAATTGGAGAAAATTGCAAGAGACTGAAGAGTGTCTTCAGCAGCTGATGGAAGACAAAGAAAGGACGGCCTTTCCACTGTGTCTCTAAACCCCGGGGAGGCTGGGAGGGAGGGGCTTTCGATGGAACAGGAGACAAGCTCTGATTTGGAATCGAAGGGACATTTTAAGTCCTGAAAGTTACAGCTACCTAAGTAGCTTTGTTCTTAAAACTGAAAGGCACAGGTAAACAATGAGACCTACCTACGGTGCTGTCATGGGTCAAGAAACAAAGATCAACAGTGCCATGAGGGAAAAAAACACGCAAAGCACAAAAAAAACCCCCTCCATGTCTTGTTTGTATCCACAGAGTTTATTACGTTAAAAACCAAACAAACATACAAACAGCCAGGTGTGCTGGTGCACTCTTGTAATCCCAGCCCTCAGAAAGCTAAAGCAAAAGGATCTCCTTGAGTTCAAGGACAACCTGGACTACACAGTGGATTCAAGGCCAGCCTGTACTACAATGTGAGAAACTGTCTCAAAAAAACAGAACAAACAAAAACTAGTTATCTGTCCTTAAAGCACAGCCTCATTTGTCCTAACAGGGCCAAAATAAATGTAGGGCTGCATAACCTACCCGGTCAGCGATCATAATGATTAAATTGGCTTAGCCACCTGGTAATCCAGATAACTGTTCAGAAATCAACAGTAATTATTGTTGAAAAGTCTAAATAGCCACCCAGCGATTGACCAAATGACCCTATATAGCTGCAGCTTTAAATTTGTTTCCCTTTTTTCTCTTAAAAAAAAAAAAAACCTCTCAATAAAACCAAATAATAAACTTCTGTCATTAACATGACATTATAACTTGTTTGGATAATCAAAACCTGGCAGACAGCGTCATTGTTATTTTCAACACACGCTTTCAGTTCTCTACTTGGAGACTGGCCAACAGACTAACCTCAAACACTAATAAGGACGAAGTTTAGCTGGAGAAGCGAACTTCAGTAAACATTTGACATGTCTCAAGCTTAAACTGCTTTGGGGGAAGACAAGCTGCTGAAGTGATGCGTGTTGCCCCCTTAGGTTACGTGGAAAGGGCTCTGGATTTGAATCATTGAGACCTTCAGGATTCATTCGTCACCTGTCAGCAATCTGGACAGATTCTTTCACTACGAACTGGGTTTGTTTTCAGGTGTTGGAAGAGTCAGCAATCTTGAACGAAAGAAATAGATGCTGTCTCGGTTACTTTTCTCTCGTTGCTGCGTCAAAATACTCAACACCAAACATTAAAGAAGAAAAGGTTTATTTAGCTCACAATTTGTGAAGTTTTCAGTCCATAACCAGCTGGCTTCAAAGCAGGGTGACATGGCACAGGGGAAACAGTTCAAGGGGGCAGAAGACAGAAAAAGCAGCAAGAGCAAAAAGGGGTGACAGGAACAGGCCTCTTTTCCTGCCTTATATTGTAAGCAGGCTACCCCCCTAGGGCGGTGTCGCACTCACACCATCTCTTTACTCTCCTCCTGCACCAATAAGGATATTTACAAAGTGAGGACCCTAGTCCCTGCTGAGTCACTTCATTTAACTTCTAAACTCTCAAGTTGACACAATGTATCAACCATTACAGATAACAGTAATGAAACTTGGAATATTTTGCAAATGTGTGATGACAGCATTTACAGTAATAAAATGTCTACAATTTGATTTTACCATCGCTAGCTTCTCCATAAAACACTACTATCATAGAGGCAAGATGACCTATTCACAAGGCTTCTGTCCACGTCATGCAAGAGGATCCTATTATGGGTAAACTGGAGATAAAATGGGAATTTTAATATGATTATAGGTCAGTGGCTTTTGAATTGCTAATGTAGAAAAGACCCTGGAGGCATATGTTGAATATATATTCCATGAAAGGCACAATTAAATAAACAAAAAGCAATTTACAAACTGGAAAATATTTTTAGTTTTCATGGAGCGTTCTAACACATGACCCCTAGCACTCAACTTTACAGGGCTGAGCAGATGCTACAGAAGGGAGGCAAATACTGTAAATTAATTTCACTTCATCTCCAGCCCTTAAAGAAAAGAGCTTATGAGAAAGTGTTTCAAAATTGAAAATAAGAACTACAAGAGTTGACCATGATTCTTGAGGGTAGGGAAGCTCCTTGAAAGATTAACCCTAGTGGTACTATAAGACAGTAAAGATGAGATGTATTTATTTGTCTATTTATATATTTGATATACCTTGCCTACTTTGAAAAAGAATTTACAAAAAAGAATGAAAAAACTCTGAGAGAAGGCAAATCTTTTCTGACTGGACTGGGCAATATTTTGAACACATCTAAGAATTTGTCCTGCTAAGTTTTGTACCTATGATTACATGACTAATGACTTGGGATGAAAATAACCTACAACAATCCAAATGATACAAGAGTAATCATGTCTTTGAAAACCATGCTCCTCACATTACAGTCCTCACAGGGATCCCTTTGGTTAGAGTGAGTGATCGTTTTCAGTTATTGTAGGCATCCTAGATATAAACATATCAAATAAAATTTTTAGAAAATGAAGTTATACTCCAAATAAAACCTCATTACTTCTGATGTCACTAATTTATAGTCAGTGTTAAATTAGTAGAAAATGTTCTGAACTTTACCTTTGCAAACCCTTTCCTGACAAAACAAGTTAATAACTTTTGTGAGTTTTATTCATTATTGGGTTCCAAAGTACTTTATTGTATTCTGTTAAAATTCTAAATTTCTAGTTTGACTGTTACAATTACATTAATCCACATTTACAAATAAAAAGGCAGAATGTAGTTCTTAGGCTATATAATATAGAGTACAGCTATTAGAAATATTAACACAGCAAATGCTTTTAATTTGGTTATTTTTCAAAATGTGCATAACCAATTCTGCAAATTTAGTGTTAATACATGTGTACAGAAAAATCTATAGCTTTGTGCTGTAGTCATTATAACCTCCACCAAAGATGTAATCCTAGTGGTTCTTTCTTAGGTAATGGCATCATTCATAGTAAAAACTACAAATTCTAGGAATCCAAGAGCACTGAGATTTAAAGGTTACTTAATAATAAAGCTTTGGGAGATTCTAAGCCTTTGGGCCTAATGCTTGTTCCAGGCTATGAAATATTTTTGATTGCTCTATAAGTATAAAACAAAAATTTTTTTTTAATCAGTACTGGGGATCGAACTCACAACCAGGCGCTTGCAAGGCAGGCACTTATGCTGCTGAGCTAAATCCCCACCCCCCAAAACAAATATTTTTACTTGTGAAGTGTTTGCTAGACTAAAGGATTTCCCACTCCCACCAGATATTTATTTGTTGGTTTTTTGAGACAGGGCCTTCCTACGTACTTCAGACTAGCCTTGGACTCACTGTGTCCCCCAGGCTAGCCTTGAACTCCAGGCAGTCGTCCTTCCTCAGCTGCCCAAGGGCCCAAATTATAAGCCTGCACCACCATGACTGCCTTCTACCCCCATTTTTAGCCAGTGTAGCAAATGGATACTGATGGGCCCACTGAAAGTGTTGATCTCCAGAGATCTGGGATTAACGTAAATTTGCCCAAAGCCCTCTGTGCAAGCTTTCTTATTCAAAACAAACAAACCAAAAGCAGCAAACTGTTTTATTCTGTTAACAGAGCTCAAAAATTGTCAAAGGTTTGGGCATGTTAGCACACGCTTGTGATCCCAGCACGTGGAAGGCTGAGACAGAATTTTTGTGAGTTTGAGGATAGCCTGGGCTACACAGCAAGACCCTGTTTAAAAAAAAATTGTCAAAAGCTGTGATTGAAATGAAATTAGACCCTAAAGCAATCTACTAAAATAGAGGCAGGCTTTATAAAAATAAAAATAAAATTTAATGTCAGTGATTCAGGAATGAAAGAAATAAAATTTAATGTCAGTGATTCAGGGATGAGTGAAAAGGGGCCACACCTTCAGAGGTTGCTTTGGGGAAGCTATCACCAGAACACGGAGCAGGTGAGCTCCAAGAACAAACACACCATCTTGAGCCCCACCTCTGAAGGTCAGGTGCTGTACTGCCTCTTGTTACGTTAGTTTCCAGCCACAGGAAGACCTCATGAATTCAGCTTCCGCCAGTCTGGCATTTGATGCACTTCATGAAAGCATCAAATGTTAATTAAGGCTGAGGGATCTATGCAAGCATTTTGCCCAATCTCTCCATTTCACAAATGATGCAGATAAAGGAACTGATAAAAGATGCTCACTTTTCTAATATCTATACTGCATTTCTTAAGAGAAGAACATCCTCCCCGTCACCATCCCAAAATATGCTCGTGGTCACTGTTGTAAGTTGAATTGTGTTCCCTAAAAAGTTAAGTTCAATTTTCAACTCTCAGTTGATAATGTGACTTGATTTGGAAAATAGGGTCTTTGCAAATGCAGTCAAGTTAAGATGAGGTCTTACTGCATAGATTGTCCCCTCATCCAATGCCTACAGTCCTTGAGAAGAATTTAGACAGAGACACAGGAAAGAAGGCCATGTGATGACAGAGACAGACACTGGAGTGATGTGGCTGTAAGCCAAGAATTGTGAGCAGCCTTCAGAAGCTAGGAAGAGGCAGTAAGCACCCTCTCCCAGGGCCTGTGAAAAGAGCACGGCCCTGCCAGCACCTTGATTTTGGCCTGATAGGGCTCTCGAACAGTGCATAATTTTGGCTGTTTAAGCAACCTGATTTGTGCTCATTTGTTACAGCAGCATTAGGAAACTAATACCCAACCATCATTTGTAACAATGGCACTCATTCCATACTAAAGTACTTTACAGTGACATAAATACCAGCTAAACACAGGCACAACCACAAAAAGCATATTTACTGAGCATCTGTCATTTTCTTAAGCTTAGCTCCTTTAATGCTTCTAACAATGCAATATTAGAGGAAGGGAAGGAGATAAAAAGAATTAAGATGTATCATATACCAACTCTTGTAGTCATTATCTACTGCAAACATGTACTAATGAAAAAATTCAGATTTTTTTAAAAAAAACAGTAGCATAATCTATAATCTCTCTTTAAAGATGAGATGAGATGAGATTAGAGAACTTTTATAGAGCCAATAAACTAGTAAATTCTGAAGTTGAGAATCATATCTGAGAGAGTGTGTCTCAAAAACTATACTCCTACTACTGGCTCAAGTGAACTGGACACAGAGGATCAGCCTGTACCCCAGAGGTTCTTGAGTTGTGCAGCATGGCAGCCCTGTACTGGAGGATGGAGAGGCCAGGACTGCACAGCTGATATGAGAGCAATGGCTAATCATGGCAAGGTTATTTAACATGGCACTAACATACCAGCTAGCAATCTAAACATAATAGCTCCCCTTCCTACCAGGCATCCTCTATATTCATGCTTCATATATGATCATTCTTCCTTACAATGAATATGAACCTCACACCTGACACAGGCCAGCCACTCCATTGTGGCTTCAGTGGGCACTTAAAGAATAAATCACTAACTTTGTTTACAGTGAAGCTATGCTGTGAAGATGTCAAAAAGAAGCTAGTTCTTGATTTAAAAAGAACTAAGTAACTTCCCTCTAGTTGCAGACTTTTATCTCTTTAGTGAGTTTAAGATCTTCAGAAGGCCGAGGTGCCAGTGGCCCAGCTAATGGGTTTCTTGTCATTCAGCCAAAGATGTGGAGAATGGAATCTCAGAAACAGAAATGGAAGCAGAGGTGCACATGTCCCAAGCATGCTCCAAGGAAGACAAAATAAATTTGATTAAATGTTCTCTACAGCCAGATGTTTGGAATAAAAGAATGGCACCTCAACCAGTATTTTTTAATAGGAAAAAATTTGTCTCTTTACATATCCACAAACTTCCAGACACTTGTGCAGTTCAAATATTTTCTCTAACCTGAGGGTTGGAAAGGTTTCTATGTAAGGGCCAGATGGTAAATATTTCATGTGTGGTAGGACACATGAAACCATGAAACAATCATAGATAGTAGACAATATGTAAGTAAATATCAGTATGTGCTTTAATAACACTTTATTTGCAAACTGAAGCAGGAGCAAATGTGACTAATGGGCTACAGCGTGTTGACTCATCCCGTAAACCAACATAATCTTATGCCTTTGCAATCAGGGAATATTTAATCCATTTTGTAACTGGACAGTTTTAATTTTATTTTTCTGTTCAGTGTTCTCATGCTGACCCTTCAGATTAATATCATCATAAGTATTTATAGTATTATCAATTGTGTTGCATGCTTGGGATAGTACTTTACAACTTGGAAAGCTCAAAAGAATAGTTTAACCATTTACCTTCACTTTTACTGGTAAAACATGCTTACAGAGTTCATTTAGTTTTATAAACTCTTTGTAGAATGTGTAGGTAGGCATCCAAATGACTGCCTCTTCAGGCTGACATGGGAATGAAGATATGAAGAGAGACAGAGAGACGATCCAGCTTTGACTTTGTATTTTAAGAATGACCAGGAATTTTCTCTGCACTTCTGAGCTAACGGGTCATACTTTTCATTATACTACTCTACAAAATATTCTGAATCAAATAACTAAAGAACATGGTTGCCATGCAGCTCTTAGAAAGAGTTCATGACTCAGAACCTCAGAATCAAAAAGAAACAGGCAGAAATAGATTCCAATTATATATGAGTTCTGTTAAGTAAAAGAAATAGAGCTCATTATTAATGCAAATTATGAATGCAAAATTAGGTACAAAAATGAATATTTCTAGTGAGAAGTCCAAAGACATTGCACATTTTTTTCTTTTTAAGATTTCTTATTAGTATATACTTGCAATACATGATAATTACCTGCATATTGGGGAATTGGTAAATATACATATCTAATTTCCATCATTTTTCCTCCTCCTTCATTTAATGTGTCTACATTTTTAAAAGCTGAAGAGTACTAGTCATTGTCTTTTGGTTTATGGCTTGGGTTTCCACTAAATATTAAAAATGAACCTAAAATCCATAAACATAGAAAGTAAATTAGGATACTTTTGTAATTGCTCTTACAGTGTATGTAGTGACATAATTGTGTTGTCAAATTGCTCTCTGCATATGATTTCTTTATTGTTATTATAACTTGTTTTTTTCAAGTAATTATGCTGCATTAGTGGCACTTCTGCATGAGTTTTATCTGTAATCACCACACTTGGTCAGAACAAAATGTCTCATATGCTAAAATTCAATCCAATATGTCAGGATACCAAAAAACATGTAACTTCAGACACACAGGTGCACAGGTGGTAATTACAAACTCTAAAATTCTGATAAATGAAATTAAGTTGAAACAAATAGTGGTCTTAATCAACTGTCGTTCAAAGATGCTCCAGTTACAGAAGTGTCCTACCACACAAACACATCGATAGGAACCAAAAAGGGGACCTTGGAAGTCATTTAGTTTAGGCTCTGTATCAATCACACTCCTGGTGGTTAATCAGTCTACACAAACAAACATGCCCTATGACTGTGATATTGAGCTTACTGTTTCTCAATGGAGCTCATTCCATTTTTAGGAAACTTGGATTTTTATAGAATTCTTCCATAGGTTAAATTATAACTACCTAATAACTATAATTTGTTGATCCTAAGTCTCCCTTTTGCTGTTGTTTTTGGGTCTTTCTTGTTTTGTGTTTTGTTTTTTTGAGACAGGGTCTCACTATGTAGTTCAGGCAGGCCTTGAACTCACTATGTAGTCCAGTCTGGCCTTGAATTCACAGCAATCCTCCTGCCTCAGCCTTCCAAATGCTAGGCTTACAGGGGTATCACCACTTCAGTCTCCTAAATCTTGGCTTTGAGAGATAATCTTATTCTTCAAGATAGAAGTCTTTTCAACCACCTCTTAATCTGTGTTTCTTAAAGAACTGACTCTGAAGGATTTATTCAAACACAACAGTTCATTTGAGAGGTAGTACTAGAAAACACCAGTAAGGCTGGGGATTTACTTCAGTGGCCTAAGTGCCTGCCTGGCAAGTATGAGGTTGTGAGTTCGATCCCTGGCACCAAAGAGAGAGAGAGAGAGAGAGAGAGAGAGAGAGAGAGAGAGAGAGAGAAATAACAAAATACCAGTAAGGAACAGAGAATTTAGAGAGAAAATGCAACTAATAAACCCTATGTTGTCAACCCAGTGATTATCACAGGGAGCTGGAGAACAATTCTGGAAACTCAGAAGTTAAGATGAAGCGCATGCCTCTCTGAGTTAGCTCCCCTGGGAATGGGGAAGCTGGGGACTCCCACATTCACCCCCATCACTTATGTTGAGGGCCTCTGTGAGAAGCATGAATATGCACTGGCAGACCAGGCACAGCTTCTAAAGAAAGCATCAAGGAAGGAGATGCAGAGGCTGACAGCTGGAAATCAGCCAGCCTGTACCGCACTGTTGAGGGCCATGGGAATATGGGCAACACATTCTCCACACCCAGTGCCCTGGGTTCCCCAGAGTTCTGTCTTCAGCTCAGCCAGCCCAACCGCAGGTCCTGTCCAGCCTCATTATCAGATGAGTGGGTGTTTTTTCTTAACACTGAACATGACAGCCCTTCTCTCCAAATTTCTAGTCCCGGAAAGTACTTGCACAGCACAGAGTAAACACAATCCTTGATCAAAGGTAGAAGATAACATAAATATAATCAGGCTCAGCCTGAAAGCAGATGGAGTGGGTGTGGTGTTGCTCTAAGGCAGTTCAGGTGAATCCACTGAGAAATCTTAATTTCTTTTCAAAGGCCAGACGGATTCACGCTTTCCTAGTCATTTCTTGCCTAAAAGGAAGAAGCTTTCTTTGGTAACCTGTTACATAAGTAAAGGGAGAGTGACCTAAAGCTAAATAACAGACAGTAAATGAACAATTATTCCTATTAAGTAATCAAGACAGTTTTTTTTCCACAAAGTGACAACATTGCTTTCCTGTAACACATTACTGGAGTCATTCTCAAATACATCCAGGCATTGTTTGGAAGTCCTGCCTTCAGAACGCTGGGGCCTAATTTCCCTCCCTTGTGCGTGGGTCGTACTTGGACAGAGTGACCTCACGGGAATTCCAAGAATAGGATCATAAAGGCCTTGGGCTTCACTTACTCTCCGGGATGGATCAGGCCCTTTTAGGAGAGCTGCTGCCCTGCAGTGAGGCAATCCAGTCGCCTGTGCAGAAGCCCACATGGCAAGAGCTCAGGCCTCGTGCCCAGAGGAATGCAAGCAAGTGACCTCAAAATTAAAAGCAGGTCCTCCCACTCAGTCCAGCCTTCATTGGACAGGGGACCTGATGGACTCCGGATGGCAATCTCAGACGATCCCAAACCACCAAGAGCCTGAACCACAAGCGAAGCCACATCTGAGTTCCTAACCCTCATACAGAGATTTTTGGGGGATTTTCTAAGGTGCTGTATTGTGATTCATCTCACAGTAATCAGTAACCACTGCATGCAGAACCAATTGGCCTTATGAGATTATCCCAAATTGGCAGCTTTTACCTGAAAGTGACAGAATTCTTGTGCCTTTTTTCCCTTTCCTAAACTCTGTTTTTCTCTGTTCTTAATGAAATTCTAAATCATTTATCAAGAACTTTCCATTACTATTCCTTGAATTATACATGGTGTGATCTAACTCATCTCACCCCAGTACTCAGCAAGTTAAACGCCATCTGATCCTGCTTAAGCCACTCTTACCAGGACATCGGCCCCATTCATGACAGCTTTCTGAGGCCTTGTCCACAAGGGCTACAGAACCTCTTCCTTGAAATGGGAGGCAGGGGCCGCATCAGGTAGAGGTGCAAACCCCACAGAGGATAAGCTCTCTTTTATTCTGATACATTTTCATTAATGATCTTTTTTATCTTTTTTTCCCCAGTCCTTCCCCAAATGATCTTGATAATAAGATGCAAAACTTACCTGATTTTGTTGTAGCCCATGAAAATGCCTTCCTGTCTTTGGTAGCCTGTGAGCAAAAGTGTCAGAAGCAGCCCCAGTACTGTTACAGAAGTAATAAAACAGTAGATTAGGCTGTGTGGAGAGCCGGTGTTTGCTCTTCAATCCTGCTTTCCTAATAGGCTTTTCCTTGTGGTGGACTGAACTTACACTGTTTTCTTTTTTTCTCCAAACAGCGGAAACAGCTGCAGTTTCAAGTTATTGCTTGCCAGAACTTATTTCTTCATATTCGTTCAAACATCTACGAGCTGAGAAAAGCTGATGGAAGGGAAAGGATACTTTGCTGTCCTCAAATTATAGGTGACTAAGGAATTGAATTCATACTGACACTAGGAAAGAATCAAGGATATTTTTTCCTACAGTTATATCAGAACTAGAGAATGGAATGGTAGGGTGGTGGTTAGTTTAAATGTATGTGCTCTACATCCTTTAAAATTTTTTTCTCTAAATATTTGGAGCTTCCACATCAATTAGAGTGTGACTCATTATAGGCACCATACTATAATTATCCTTCAAAAGAAATGCATGTCTTACCTGGTAATAGAAGTTTTAGGGTGAGTTGGTGAGTTCCAGAGACCTCACTCTCTGGTGGGTTTGCACATCTGATCCTGGTCTCTTTGCTGCCTGTAGAGTGATAAATTATCCAAAAGTTTCCAAAAGAGCCATCACACTAGCACACAGTTTACTCCTCTTCTATTTGGATACTTATTAGTAGGTCCTTTTTGCCTTTCCAGTTCACATTTTTAATTCAGATTTTTAAGCCAAGCCAAATTAATGTTTTTGGACTTTTTTTTTTTTGGAGACAGGATCTTGCTGTGTAATTCAGTTCAAACTGACCTTTAACTCATTATGTAGCCATGGCTGGCCTTCAATTCACTACAATCTTCCTGCCTCAGCCTCCTAGTGTTAGGATTACAGGCGTATACCACCCCACCCTGAATTAGTTTTCAAGAGTTTAGTCCAGTCTCTTCCATTGTTCTGTAATTATTTGTTGGGTCCAAGAATCTTGAGGCAAATCTGAAATTATCCCAAATTGCTTATCTTGGTGATGAGTACTAGAGAGTCTGGCATATAATAGGTGCTCAATGTGTTTATTGAATCCCATTACATATATACAATTTTATTTTAACTGAGGCAATTTCTCAATACAAAACAGAAGCAAATTGTTCCTGGCATGTCACCCTGACTCAGTATCTTTTTGCTAACAGAAGATACTAACCTGAATTCCTGATTTCACATCATCTTCTATGCTTAATGAATTCCCTCAAGAACTCACAGATATTAAAATAAATATGCTGCAGCCTTGCAGTTACCCGATCCATGAGGATTTAGAATTCAAAGGGTTGTCACTTACTGAGCTACAAAGGCCTTTATATCATACTTCTTCTATGGTCTTGGGCATTAGCATGATATCTTGGTCCTGAAAGTTTTATTTTAAAGAAAGAAAAAAAAAGAGGGAGAAAGAAAAGGTGGAAGTTTCAACACTTGTGCTCAACTTATGCATATGAACATATAAGAAAAAAAGATGTCATCGCCAAACTAAACTTTTAAAATTTCCATTCTGAGAATGCCTCCCTCCCCCACCATGAGGTGAATCTTTCTTATTTTTTTTATTCTGGTGAAGAAATGGGACAGATTGATGGAAGCATCTTTCTTTCAAAAGTCCTCTCTGTCAGATCAGAGCAAGGAAAATTAAAATACCCAACAAATTCATCCATCACGATCTGGCTCCTGTCTCCTTTTCATCTTGCTTCTATTTCCTAGATCACTAAACTCTCAGTCACCTGTTTTAATGCCTTGTCTGATGGTGGAGAATATTTATAATCCTTCAGATTTGTTGTATCTGAGATACTGGGGCTTTAGTATTTAATATTTGCCATATACATAGGATCTGGAAGAACTTCGTGAATATTAATGAAGAATCATAAGTTTTTTAAAAATTAGAAAGGTAGGAAAAGGGAACTTTAGAAAACCAGAAAGGGTAATTGTTCTAGTTAAAGTTGGAGTTCCATGGGCTGGAGATTTAGCTCAGCAGCATGAGTGCCTGCCTGGCAAGCACGCAGTCAATGAGTCCAATTCCCCGGTACAAAAAAAAACAAAACTGCAGCTCCTTGTCTGCATGACCGTAGCAAGGTCATCAGTCACTAGACTAGGATGTGCTGTGTACCCTACATCCACTCAGACCTCTGTGGCTTCTCTCTCATAGCATATGTGCCTCAAAGACTCGCCACAACTTGATGTCGCATCATCCTCACTCTACTGCCAAGACTAGGGGAGACATTTCTGTTTTGGTCCTGGCCAGTCTTTTGGCAGAGAAAAAAGAGCACATGGAAAAACATAAACTCTTTCCAAGCTTGTTCCTGCAAGAGGCCCCTGTCATTTCTACTCACAGTCTGTTTTCCAGAGCAAGCCCAGCCACATCATCCTCACACAGGAGAGGCAGCAAATATTGCAACAGTGTACAAGCTTCACAGGAAGAAGAGGAGGTTTGGTCTGTTACTTCTCAAATAAAGCTTACAATGTAATGATTCTGAAAACTACTTGGCAATAAAGAAGGGCAGTATAATAATTACAGTTCATACTTGCCTGCTATAGGCATCATAAACACAATGGTTCCTCATAAAAGCAACAGGCAAAGTTAACAAAACATACTTGTCTTCTTTCTTTTCAAACAAGGAATCAAATTCAAGATCTCACACTTGCCAGGCAAGCACCATGCCGCTGAGCTATATCCCCAACCCAATTCAGATTTTCTGAAAGACATTTGCTAACAGTAACATATATAGTGATGGCAAACTTTAAGAACTTTCAATGATACCAACAGCCTGCTGCCCCACAAGCCAGCTGTGTGTTCACCACCTGTTATGGTTGACACAGTGTGTCAACTTGAGAAGTTTAGAAGTTTAACTGACTCAGCAAGTAACCAGGATCTTTACTTTGTAAATATTCTCATCCTGTGCAAGAGAAGAGCACAGAGATTTTGTGAGTGCTACACCAGCAGGAGGGTAGGTGGTGGGGATAAGGGGGTTGGGAGGTCAGGGGCTGGGTAAAATATAAGGGAGGCGAAGAGGCTTGTTCCTGGCTTTTGCTCTGGCTTCTGCCTTGAAGTGTTGATCCAGTCCCATGCCGCCCTGCCTTGGAGCCAGCTGATTATGGACTGAAACCTCCACCAACAGTGAACTAAATAAACCCTTCTTTCCTTCATTTTGGTGCCGGGTATTTTGTCCCAGCAAGGAGAGAAAAGTAACAAGACACCATTGCTGATTCTATGATTTTTCCACTTGAAACTCTATGAGGTTGACAAAAATCTGGAATTTCTGTGAAAATACAGAAACCAGAGCTTAAGGAAACAAGCCCTATTTATTTATTTATTTATTTTGCTTGGTTATTTGTTTTTTGTTTCTTTCTCTTCTCTGGAAGTTTAATAAACCTGAGCAACTCCCTTTCACCTACAAATGGCTTTGTTTAGCACTTTCTTTTTTTTTTTTTTTTTTTTTTTTGGATTTTATAATATTTTTTTAATGGTCACCGGGAGTTAACACAAGAAAATGCAGGAAATCTATTCACAACACCAAAGACAGAATATTAAGTTAAGGGCCTAAATCACACAGCAATGTCCTACACGAGTCCAGATAAAAACCCAGAACTCATGACAATGCTTCCCACAAGTCCAACTGGAGGTCCAGAGCCCACAAGAAGGACTCACACCAGTCTTTTTTACAGATCCGTGCTGGGAAGGCCCAACGGTCAGCTGTGGAAGCCAGAAAGTCCATGCCAGCAGGGTGAAGGAGCTGTGTTGGTGGGATGAGGGTTTTACACTGGAGCTGAGAAGTCACCCTCACAACAAAGACCAGGGTTATCCTGAAAGGCACCACAGCCATCCTCAGCGACATAGAGGCCCTGAACTCCGACAATGACAAGCATAGTCGGGTACCTGCGAGGAAGCCAGCTTGACAAGTTTATCCTGGAGACCAAGCAGCACATGTCTTTCCCTCTAGAGCCAGCAAGCAATGCTCAATGTGAGGACCAAAGCTTTTCCAGGAGAACCAATGGCTCAAGCAGCAACTCGTGGGAGAACCCACAAGGCCTCAACGCAATAGCGCATTAACACCTCAGTGCCTTCACACTTCCCTTCTTTTTCACCTATTTATCTTGGCAACTTTCCTCAGCTGGAGCATCTTTGCTCAATGCCATGCTGATGTAATCCAGCTGGTGTTAAATTGACCACCAGGTCTTAATCCATAATGTTTAGCACTTTCTACCTGCAAAAGTTGCTCACTCACCTGTAAGTTGAGCACGCTTGAGGATTTTCTATCTGAATGGACCATTATCTCACTATGAGTGTACTATCCTCTCTTACCCACTAGCCAAGACTAAGATTATAGATAATCAGATTCCTCAGATATCCACCACCCAAAGCACAGGAAAGGGTCCCCTATGCACCAAGTTCCAACTATGCATGTTTCTGCTATTGAGTGTTTCCTATATCTCTGATAAACCCTCCTCACATCTGTGTTTTCACTTATTTTTATTTATTTTTTAACTTATGAGAGAAAGAGTTTATTCCATTCACAGTTATGGATGTTCCAGCCCAAGACTCATCACTTTGGGTCTCTGGTCAGCGTGAGAAACACCAGTGGTGGAGCCCATGGTGGTGCACACTACTTACTTAGAATACATCTGTGTTATTAAAAATCTAGGTTTTCCTTTAAATTCTTATATAAGAAACACAATGCATAAATAATTAAAGAGCAAAATTAAAGTGAGGTAAGAGGAAATAAGGACACAGATCTTTGGCCAAAAGGAAGGGGATCAAGAGACGCAGGATGGAGGACGGAAGAGAGGGGAAGGGTGTGAAAAAAGAATTAAGATGCATTATGTGAGATCTGGGGTGCCCTCACTGGCCTCTCTGCGTGTCTGGAGGACTCTGGATTTCTGCGCCCAGACTGCTGGAGTTCCCTCAGGCTTCCAGGTGCAGTGAAGGCGAGAGGTGGGTTTGAGGTTTCCACATCAGCCTCCCCATTCCAGCTTCACTTGGAGACCTGCTGAGCTCCCGATAGGTGGGCTGGCCCACACAACCAGCCTAGCCCAGCCTGTTTAGCAGCCGCGCCTGGCCATAGGTCTGCAGAGGAGGAGCTGGGCAGATCTGGGGTGCCCTCACTGGCCTCTCTGCGTGTCTGGAGGACTCTGGATTACTGCGCCCAGACTGCTGGAGTTCCCTCAGGCTTCCAGGTGCAGTGAAGGAGAGAGGTGGGTTTAAGGCTTCCACATCAACCTCCCCATTCCCGGCTTCATTTGGAGACCTGCTGAGCTCCCGATAGATGGGCTGGCCCACCCTACCAGCCTAGCCCAGCCTGTTTAGCTGCCGCGCCTGGCCACAGGTCTGCAGAGGAGGAGCTGGGCAGATCTGGGGTGCCCTCACTGGCCTCTCTGCGTGTCTGGAGGACTGTGGATATCTCTGCAACCAGGGAGGGTCCACAGGTTCCTGAAGCACTGCGGCCTGTGGTGAGTACCCTAACCCGGCTGCGATTGAAGAACTGTGGAGCTTCCAAGGGGCAGGTGGGCGCACAGTGTCCCTGAGGCCCAGCTTGTCTGGAACTGCGGAGTTCTGAGCAGGCAGAGGAGGGCCACTGGTTCTGTAGGCCTAATGGCTTGGAGTAGCGCGGCACCAGAGTCCCAGTAGCTCCAAACATAGAAGGGGATTTTCAACAGATCCTGAGGAAGCTTTCAAATAACACTTGAAACACAGAAATATAGGAAAATGACAAAACGAAAGACCAAATTACAACCTCAAACCTCCAGCCCATCTCAAGAAACCCTAGGAGCGATGTATATAGAAGAAAATATATCCCATCCACCTCATATATCGGACACAATAGCCACTGAAATTGACAAGCAACTCCAGGAAGCTTTAAAGAAATTCAAACTCGAAATAATCTCCCAGATAAAAGAAGAAATGATAAAAGAAATGAAAGAGATTCTAAATATATCTAAAGAAAACACAGATAAAAAATTGGAGGAACTAAACAAAAAGATAGAATCCCTAGACGAGCAATATAAGAAACAAACAGAATACATAATGCAGATGCACAGAGATATACAGGAAATAAAAAACTCCACTGAAAGTTGTAAAAACCGCCTTAATGAAAGTGAAGATAGAATTTCAGACCTTGAAGACAGGATTGCAGTTAGTGAACAGGAAAGGAAAGATCTTTTGAAAATAACAAGGAACCAGGAAACAACAATTCAACAACTGCAAGACGATGCAAAGAAGAATAACATAAGAATGATAGGGATTAATGAAAGAGAGGGAGACAACATGAAGGATGTCAGGAGGATATTTAGAGAAGTAATAGCTGAAAATTTCCCAAGCATGAGATCAGAAACTGACATCAGGATCAGTGAAGCATATAGAACTCCAAACAGTCATAACCAAAATAAAACTACACCCAGACATATAATAGTCACCATCCCAGAAATCCAACACAAGAATAGATTATTAAAAGCTGTCAGAGAGAAAAGACAAATCACTTATAAAGGAAAACCTATCAGAATCACAGCAGACTTCTCAGCACAAACGATAAAGTCAAGAAGAGCATGGAGTGAAGTATTCCAGATCCTAAAGCAAAATGATTTCCAACCAAGACTGATATATCTTGCAAAACTATCATTCAAAATAGATGGTGCAATACGATACTTCCATGACAAAGAACAGCTGAAGAACTTCATGAACACCAAACCAACCCTGCAAAAAATATTGAAAGACAGTTTAGATACACAAAGGAAAAAACCACTAAGCAAAGCAAATAATTAAACAGAACCGAAAGATAAAGATGCAACAGCAGAGAGATAACATTCCTACAATTAACCAGCATTTAACAGTAATAACCATTAATGTAAATGGTCTCAATGCACCAATCAAAAGAAACAGACTAGCAGAATGGATCAAGAAACAAAATCCAACCATATGCTGTTTACAGGAAACCCATCTAACCCAGAAAGATACTCACAGACTGAAAGTCAAAGGATGGAAAACAATCCTTCATGCAGCAGGAATCCAAAAAAAGGCAGGAGTAGCCATTCTGTTTGCAGACAACGTGAACTTTAAACCAACAATGACCATAAAGGACAAAGAAGGTCACTACATACTCGTAAGGGGAAAACTCCAAGAGGAAGAGGTAACTATCTTAAATATATACGCACCAAACTCCAGAGCACCAAGTTATATAAAACAATTATTAACAGAAATGAAAACTCAAATTATCAGTAACACAATTGTAACAGGAGACCTTAATACACCACTGACACCAAGGGACAGATCAACCAGACAGAAAATGAGCAAAGAAATAACAGAACTGAATCACACCTGTGAACAAATGGGTTTGATAGACATATACAGAATGTTCCACCCAACAACATCAGAATACACATTCTTCTCAGCAGTACATGGATCATTTTCTAAAATAGACCATATATTAGCTCACAGAACATATTTAAATAAGTGCAAAAGAGCTGAAATCATCCCTTGCATATTATCGGATCATAGCGCTCTGAAATTAGAAATTAATGACAAAGGATACTGCAAAAATTCCGCAAACACATGGAAACTAAATAACACACTCTTGAGTAATCAGTGGGTCACAGAAGAAATTAAAGAAGAAATTAAACAATACCTAAAAGAAAATGAAAATGCAGATACAACTTACCGGAATCTGTGGGATGCAATGAAAGCCGTTCTGAGAGGAAAATTTATTGCACTGAGTTCCCACATCAGGAAAACAGAACGAATACAAGTAAATAACTTGATGCTACACCTCAAACAGCTAGAAAAAGAAGAGCAAGTCAAGCCCAAAGCCAAAAGAAGAGAGGAAATTATAAGAATCAGAGCAGAAATCAATGCAATAGAGACTAAGAAAACAATCCAAAGAATCAACGAATCAAAGAGTTGGTTCTTTGAAAGAATAAATAAAATCGATAAGCCCCTAGCCAACCTTATTAAAAAAAGGAAAGAAAAAGCTCAAATTCATGCAATAAGAAATGAAAAAGGAGAAATCACTACAGACCCAATAGAAATACAGAGGATCATCAACACCTATTTCGAAAACCTCTACTCTCAAAAGTTTGATAACACAGAAGAAATAGACAGATTCTTAGAAGCATATGAAGTACCAAAGCTAGATCAAGAGGATATAAAACTGTTGAATAACCCAATCTCTGCTAATGAAATTGAGAATGTAATTGGGTCCTTGCCCACCAAGAAGAGCCCAGGCCCAGATGGATTCACTGCAGAATTCTACAAGAAATATAAAGAAGACCTAATGCCGACACTCCTCAAACTATTCAATGAAATTGAAAGGGAAGCAATCCTTCCTAAGTCATTCCTGGAAGCAAATATTACTCTAGTACCAAAACCTGAGAAAGACCCAACTATAAAAGAGAACTATAGACCGATCTCCCTAATGAACACAGATGCAAAAATCCTCAATAAAATATTGGCAAATAGGATCCAGCAAATCATCAAGAAGATTATACACCATGACCAAGTGGGATTCATCCCAGGAATGCAAGGATGGTTCAACATACGCAAATCAATAAATGTAATCCACCATATCAATAAAGCCAAAAATAAGAATCACATGATCATCTCTATAGATGCAGAAAAAGCCTTCGATAAGGTCCAACACTTATTCATGATAAGAACTTTACAGAAAATTGGAATAAATGGTCTTTACCTCAATATAATAAAGGCCATTTATGACAAACCAACAGCCAGCATCATACTAAATGGCCAAAAATTGAAAGCCTTTACTTTAAAATCGGGTACAAGACAAGGATGTCCTTTATCACCACTCCTATTTAATATAGTACTGGAAGTACTAGCCAGAGCAATTAGGCAAGAAAGAGAAATAAAAGGGGTAAAGATAGGAAAAGAAGAAGTTAAATTATCATTGTTTGCAGATGACATGATACTCTACATAGAAGACCCCCTAAACTCCATTGAAATACTCTTAGATACAATAAATAAATTCAGTAATGTGGCTGGATACAAAATCAATACTCAGAAATCAATAGCATTCCTATACACGAACAACAAAATTACAGAGA